TAAATAAATAAATAATCATAAATAAATAAATAAATAAAATAAATAAATACTTAAATAAATAAATGAATAATAATAAATAAATAAATAAATAAAATAAATAAATAAATAATAATAAAATAATAAATAAATAAATAAATAAAATAAATAAATAAATAAATAATAAATAATAAATAAAATAGTAGGAATTTGTCAAGCGAATATTATAGTCAAATTAGAGTCATTATTTCCCTGATCTGATCTGATTAGAGTGACTTGGTCCGATTAGGTCGGCTCGCGTCGTGAAGGTCGGATTGGTCTACTGTTTGATTTGCTGGAAAACGAGGAAAGGATTGTGCTTTTCGGGGACCGTTGAAGGAAATTTCTTAATTTTATGAATTGGCAGCAAATTTATTACGAATTAGTTCAAAATTTCTACTATTGTGGCGATTCTTTTAGAAATTGGCGACGTTTTAGAAATTAAATGCCACGTCGATTTGTTAATCTCAGAGCAGTCCTGGGTCCTTTTTGAAAACAAGTTTGAAGGACTAATTTAAAATGTTTCTTAAATCAGTTTGTTTGAATTTTTTACTTACCAGTAAGAAACGATAAACCGCGCATTGCTGGGAAGGGATGATTACCGATGTATAAAATGTTCCAGTTGGTATACTTCACCTTCGTATGGATACAATTTACGGATGAAAATCTTCGATGGTGGGAGTATAGGAGTCATCAATTTGCTATTGAGAAACCCTGCAGAAAATAAGTTCGAAAAATAGACTCGCATCAAAATAAAAACTTTTATATAAGAGCTGAAGGCTCAAAATAATCGTAGCTTTGTTAGAGGAACTTTAATAGTTATTAACGTGCACTAAATAATTCAATACAATGCAAATAACGAATGAAGCAATGTATATTATTCCATATATCGTTTCATCGTAAAAAGCCTAAGATGAATTATTTTTTAATATTATCACCGTATCTTCCAGGCATTTTCACCATAAACCTTTTCCAGCATATTTAATTAATTTCATTTTAATCTCCTGGAAGCACGTAACACATTAACATCTGTAACCAATTTGAAGTTCATTTTCTTAGATCTAGAAAAAAATAACAAATAAAATGAACATATTGGGATTATATTTGACAGGGTTTCAACAATCCAGACGTTAAATAAATCTCTTCATCGAGCATCATCAATTCGAATCGAAATTTACAGGAAAAGTATCTTCTCACAGCTCACATTTTTTTAAATGGGTTAGTTTTGATAATATTGAATCAAAAAACAAAAGGATATGAACATTTAATTTATCTTCCACGCCACCCCATCTTGATCAAGTTTTTGCCCAGTTTCCCTGATCCATGAACAAATGCTGAGATGCGCCCCTTGTTT